AAGTTCTCGCACTTAGAAATCATGGAGGGTCTGAAATTCACATTGTAGGTGCATTCCCACTCTGAGAGACAGAATTTAAAAAAAAAAATCAGGAAATCACATTGTATGATTTTTAAAGAATTTATTTGTCTTGCACTGCTGAACATAAGTGTTTGAACACCTGAGAAAATCAGTGTTAATATTTGGTACAGAAGCCTTTTCTTTGCAATTACAGAGGTCAAATGGTTCCTGTAGTTCTTGACCAGGTTTGCACACACTGCAACAGGGATTTTGGCCCACTTCTCCACACAGATCTCCTCTAGATCTGTCAGGTTTCGTGGCTGTCGCTGAGCAACACGGAGTTTCAGCTCCCTCCAAAGAAGTTCTATTGGATTTAGGTCTGGAGACTGGCTAGGCCACTCCAGAACCTTGATATGCTTCTTAGAGAGCCACTCCTTGGTTATCCTGGCTGTGTGCTTCGGGTCGTTGTCATGTTGGAAGACCCAGCCACGACCCATCTTCAATGCTCTGACTGAGGGAAGGAGGTTGTTGCTCAAAATCTCACAATAAATGGCCCCATTCATCCTCTCCTTAATACAGTGCAGTCGTCCTGTCCCCTTCGCAGAAAAGCACCCCCAAAGCATGATGTTACCACCCCCATGCTTCACAGTAGGGATGGTGTTCTTGGGATGCAACTCATCCTTCTTTTTCCTCCAAACACGACGAGTGAAGTTTAGACCAAAAAGTTCTACTTTGGTCTCATCTGACCACATGACTTTCTCCCATGCCTCCTCTGGATCATCCAGATGGTCATTGGCAAACATCAGTCGGGCCTGGACATGTGATGACTTGAGCAGGGGAATCTTCAGTGCAATGCATGATTTGAAACCATGACGGCGTAGTGTTCTACCAACAGTGACCTCTGAAACCGTGGTCCCAGCTCTCTTCATGTCATTGACCAGCTCCTCCCTTGTAGTTCTGGGCTGATTCCTCACCTTTCTTATCATCAGTGATACCCCACAAGGTGAGATCTTGCATGGAGCCCCAGTCCGAGGGAGACTGACAGTCGTCTTTAGCCTCTTGCATTTTCTAACAATTGCTCCAACAGTTGATCTATTTTCACCAAGCTGCTTAGCAATTGCCCCGTAGCTCTTTCCAGCCTTGTGGAGGTCCACCATTTTGTCTCTTGTGTCTTTTGACAGCTCTTTGGTCTTGCCCATGGTAGTAGTTGGCGTCTGGCTGACTGTGGGGTGGACAGGTATCTTTAAAGAGCTCAGACAGGTGCTACTAAGTTAGATTAATGAGGGGAGTAGAGGTGGACTTTTTAAAGGCACAGTAACAGGTCTTTGAGAGCCAGAATTCTTGCTGTTTCTTAGATGTGCAGGTAAATGCAGACACCTGCTGCAGATCACAAATGCAGTGCAGGAAATATGAACGGAATGCTGGTTTCCCACACCATGTTCCAGAGTGAACTGGTCTTGAATGCTTGTATGAAAGGGCTCTTAACCCCTTCACGCTGGCGCCTCCCGACCCTTTAAGGGTTCCAGAAGCCGAGAGGCGGGGCGGGGTTTAGGGTCATGTGACTGCCAGGACGTGCCGTCACAAGTTTGGGAAAGGTCCAGATCGAAAGAGGAGATCGGGATCTTTCCGTGAGTACAGGACATGTGTGCTGGGAGCGTGCAGGGCGCGCGCTCTCGGCACATATGTTCTTTTTTAATAGAACGCAAATGTGCAGCCGCTTGGTGTCTAGGCCCAGAACCCGAGAGGCCGCACATTTGTTTGCGGCCGGCCTGAAGAGTTTAAAGTGGTTCTAAAAGGCAATTTTTTATTTATTAAATACATTTATTGCAGACTTGCATATCTCTTCTGTAATAAAAATACACATACCTGCCTGTTTGCAATTTTCTGCAGTAGGTGAAGGAGTTGCGCATGCACAGCTCCATTTACAATTCTGGATGGATGACTCCCGCACACCAGCCAATCAAGATGCCTGAAGACTGGCACCCAGAAAAAGACAGACAGAAGATACCATCACCAGCAAGGGACCTCACAGACGTCATACCGTTGGAACTAAAGTAAGTATTGCTACCTTTATTTCTGCTTTAATTGAGACCTCCTAGGAAAATAGAGGAGTGACAAGAGATACCTGGTGATGCATCACTATGATGAAGGCATAAATGAAAAGAAAGACCTGAAAGCACGGGAATGCACCTAGAAAAAAATGGCAGAAAACAGTAAGCGATTTAAAGGGTAACTCCACTTTCACGGGAAAAAAAAATAGCAAATGAAAAAAAAAAAATATATAGTATATACAACTCCAACACAAATAATATTGTAATTGAATGTTATTAAAAATTACCTTTCTTTTTCAATCTGCAGCCATTATAATTTTCTGTAAAATGCAATATGGCTACCTGGAGATGTTCGGTACACAGAATGTGTACAGAACGCCCCCCCAGCAACATCCTTTACTGCTTGTGGAATTGGATCACTGATTTTCCCAGAAATCTGCACTAAGGCTAGGTTCACATCTGTGCGGGTGGTGCCGCTGAGGATCCGCACAAACATCCGTGCAGCCGCACCACCTGCACAAAGGAATGCAGAGCCGCGGGCGGGTGCCATTAATTCTAATGGCACACTGCCCGCACTGGAAATCACAACCATACTGGGAGCCGAGGTTCCCATGCGGTCTGTGTTTTCAGAAGAAGGGCAGGGACTTCTTCCCTGCGTGTCCCGGGGCACAGGAGTCCATTCAAATGAATGGGCTCTCGTGCCCACGCAAAAAACGGACCGCAGGAACGCGGATATCTGAACCAGGGATAAGATACAAGTCAGATTTCAGAAATCCCCTGCCACAAAAATGTCATTTTTGGTGAGATACTCCGGAAGGGAAATTCCACATAAAGGGATGCAGACCCTGCCAATTTCCTCATTAGAGCACTAAAGATGCAGCTGCTGAATGATAATTAAGACCCACTCCCATTCCCAGGGCTGCTGTTAGAAACCATGGGGCCCCATACAGTCAACCTGATGCCCCTCCCCCCCCCCCAAAAAAAAAATATTTACTATCTTACAGCTATAAATGAACATAGTGAGTGATCGGTACCAATCATTCTTCGTGTTCAATCAGGAAAGGAAGGGGCTGGTAAATGTGACTTATTTACTGGACCCTTCCACCACTCTCCATCCTGAAGTATCCTATTGTGTGCTTGCAACTGCCGGTGGGAAGGAGAGGAAGGAAGCCGGCAACACTGCGGGGGTAAGGGCACACAGGGGGAAATGTATGGTGCACAGGGAAGGAGATGGATTTGGCAGAGGAGAAATTACTGGAAATTATCTCCTGTACGGCTCTCTCTGCAACAGCTGAAAGCCAGCAGGAGGGAGAGGAGAGGCAGCCAGCTTTCAGCTGCTGCCGACGGTGAGAGAGCCATACAGGGGATCGGTTCCAGTAATTGCCCCCCCATCATGCTGATCACCTTCCCTGCTCACATCCAATTCACCCAGCTGCCTGGGCCCCCCTGCTGGCCTGGGCTCTGTACAGGAGGACTGGTGATACCCCCTTATCCACGGCCCTGCCCATTCACATTCATTTTGCACATGGACACAAACAAATATCCATCTCTATCTTCAGAAGAACAAAAGATAGGAAGTTGCAACAACATTTGTTAAAATCCTTGCAATGTACACAGATCACCCAGAGGGGAATGTTTGTTCCTCAGCAAAAGTGGAGTTATGCTTTAAGTCAAGTAGATGAAGTAAGCAAGAAATATCACACCAAGGGCTAGTTCACACTAGGCGCCAATTCAGTGTGCTTTTTTTCTGCATCAAAAATGCATGCACAGTGTTTTCCGTGTATTCCAATGGCCGTAGTTCACACTAGTGCAGTCAGTTTCAGGTGCAGAAAAAAAAAGTAGAACATGTTGCATTTTTTCACAGAACCATACTGGAACATGGCAAACTGCATCAAAACTGCTCCAGAACTGCGTGTGGTGTGAACTGTAAGCAAAAACATATCTGGAATGCATCCGGAGTGCGTTTTTTGTAGTGTGAACTGGCCTTAAGTTTTATTGTTTTACATCTCTGCAACCAGTGACAAAACAGCTTCAATCAAGTAATATCAGCTGCTGCCCAAGTATTCTCCTTACTGTATATCTAGTGGCTCCTGACAACTGCTAAAGGAGAAACATAACTAATGTCTACTCGTGTACTTCCCTCCTAACCTATTACTGTGACCCTGCATTCACTATATCCAGGCTCTCACAGTACACACAACATGGAAATGCAATTAGTTTAGTTAATATTATAAACTGATAAATACCTTTTCTCATCAGCAGGATGCAGCAGTCATGTGACTTCTATCAGTGTCCGGCTGAGCACTAGTTAATCTTGTAGGAGAAGTTTTCATTCTCCTCTGATGTGTCCTCTGAGGCTGCATGACCCCTGACTCTGTCTAGACAGCTCTGATTAGCCAATCACATGCACACTCCCCCAAAAAAAACAATAAAAACAGATAGACTTGCCACCACTGCTCTGTACTATAGGCAGATGGATTGGGGACTGTAGAAGAAGGGGAGGATCAGAGAAGACAGGGTCAAACAGCCTTTTTACACAATGCAGAGGATTAACTCCTTAGGTTCCACAGTAGTATATAACAAGCAAGTTTTGCTGCATATACAGACTGATTTTACTGTTGTGGGTTTAGTAACACTTTAACTGCTTCCTGTCCACCCTATAGCAGATATACATGGGTGTGCAAAATCATGTATATATGCATGATTTCGCATTTCCGGGTAGGGGGCGCACATGAGGCACGCGCACGCCCTACCCGTGCTGCCACTCGTGGCCATGGCAGTCAATCACGGGTCCCAGCCCAGGAGGATTGCCGACAGAGGAAGAGAACTATAAGTAAACAATACAGTTCTCTCCCCTGTCAGCTCCTGCACACTGCTTTTTATGGCTTTGCATAGCAAAGCCATGCAAATCAGTGTGCTTACAGTGAAGCACATGGTAAAACAGCACACAGTTAACCCTTTGATCGCCCCACATGTTAACCCCTTCCTGCCCAGTGCCATTATTACAGCATCAGTGCTTTTTTTTTTTTAGCACTGTTCACTGTATTGGTGTCACTGGGGATGTCAGTGACACCAAGTCAGTTCCCCCCCAGAGTCAGAATGCCCGCAGCAGTCCCTCAGTCCCGCTAAAAGTCACTGATCGCCGCCATTACTAGTAAAAATATGATTTAAAAAAAATCCCAGTATATACACCGCCATCTGTAAACACTATAACTTTCACGTAAACCAATTAATTGATTTTAAATAGCAAAGACATGTAGCAGAATACATTTTGACCTAAATTTATGCCGAATTTATTTTTTATTAATTATTATAAAATATCTGTGTGTCTAAATCTCCCTTGTCTCTGAAGCCTGATCCCCCTCCAGATCGCTCTCCAGAGGCTACTGACAGACGGTGAGGAAGTGATGCAGCGCTTCTTCAATGCCTGTGTTAACGACAATTACACCGCAACCGCGCTTGTGGCGCTTCCCCGTTAACTTGAATAGGTAGCATTTGGTGTGCATGCCGATCTCTGATCCCTCTGGGTCAACTTAGCCACGATAGCAAAGCTAAGCATCGCGCGTCCCATGGCATGTAACCAATCCCCTCTGCTGCCTATTGCAGCTTATGGAAGGGGAGGGGGGTTGGCAGGTGTCAAAAACATAGCTCAACTGCGCACTTTTGCTGCCCCCCCCAGCCACAAGTCTAAACAAGGCTTAAAGTTGCCTATGAACCAGTAGAATTTTATTTAAATATTTTGGTTTCAGAACGTTCGCTTGATTTTCTAATGGTTAACGGGGTCAAACTGACAATCGTTTTCAACCATAATGAGAAGAAAGGAGCAGGATTACATTTTTTTTTTTCTCTCTCAAAAAATTCTATTGGTGAACGTGGTTCTTGGTGGGAGAAAAACCACCATAGACGGTTCGGCTTTCAGCTGATCCAGCAGATCTGAACCATCTATGGGTAGGTTGGTTGTGCCCAAGGTGATTCATTGCTATAATCAGCATGTCGGATTTTTGTATGCAATTATTGCCAGAGGCTATAGCCACTATCAATAATCACTGCGTTCTCCTGGCTGGGACGGCTCCCCGCAATGGCCTTCCAGGAGTGATTCCCCCATCACCGACTGCGTTGAGAGAAAATCGCATCATCTATGGCCTGCCTTATTGTAATGAAACCTATTTATTACGTCTGGGGTTCCATTCAAATAGCAGGTCTTGAAGTTTTAAGGCCTTTCCAACTAAATTAATTATTTCAGTATGTTCTAACAAACCTTTTTTTAGAATTTCCACACAAACATTCAACCAAACATCTAACCATGTATGGCCAGCTTATGTCCTCATGCACACTGGATGTTTTGATAAAGCTGGTAACGTTAGCTGTGTACACTCACGTTAAAAACGTGAAGTTTTCAGATTTTTTTTGCATTTTTGCATTAGCGTATAGCTGCGTTTTGACGCATTTAGTGGCATTTTCCCGCATTTGAGTTTTTTAGCTTTTCTTTTACCGAAAAAAAAAAAATTGGGGGGTCAAAAAAAAAATGGGGGGGGGGGGGGGGGTGTCAAAAAAATTTTTTTTCTTTTGGGTCCAAATTCTTTTTAAATTATTATATTATAATAATATAAAGTGGGTATGATTAAATAGTCTATTAATCTACGTATGGCACTTAAATGTTGTATTTTAAATGTTAAAGTTAAATGTTATATGAAAGCAGATGTGTCTAAATTAAAAAAAGCACGTCTGACTAAAGCTAAAAAAAGCAGATACTGCTAAAAAAGAAAAAAAAAAAAAAAAAAAAAAAGCAGGTATGACTGAATTAAAGATAAAGTGGGTATGATTTAAAAAAAAAAAAAGAAAAACAGCTATGTCTAAATTTTAAAAATGCAGGTATGGCTAAATTTTAAAAAAGCAAGTATTACTAAATTAAAAAAAAAAACAGGTATGGCTAAATTGAAAAAATATTTTTTTTGGGTCAAAAAAACGTCAAAAGCCAAAAACAGTAGCTGTAAAAATGTCAAGTGTGCATGAGGGCTAAGTCCAAACCTGGACAGATAAAAGCAGCCTATGGGTGCCTAAAATGTACCCTAACCAAAAATAATTTAAAGATGCATGGTTCAGTTTTTGTCTGACACACACACATATCCCCACACAATTAACTCCCACTGGCATAATACAAAAAAATGACTATTCAGAACTTTGCAGATATAGCTCCCTGTATGAATCATATTACATCTCCACCTTTTTACAAATCCTGATAACATCTCTGAAAGACCGGCCTTATTAGCAGGCTTTTTACAGACATCAGCAACCCTGCTTACTGTAGGTGACTTAATTATATCTTTTTGCTTCAGTTATTGTGTATATGCTAATAAGCTCACCTCTGACCTAAAATGTGCAGTTCATAAAAGCCTGACTGAAAATCAGGACTAGCTGTGTTCTGGTTAGTTAGGCAGCACTGCGAACATGTCTTTTTATTCATGATGAAAAGATAAAGAATAGAAATTGTAAAATTGTATTTTTGCTTAAAAAGTGAAAAAGATAAAATTCCCTAATTACCATTTGTAGGTTTTATATAATTATTTTTTACAGATTATGAAAGGCACATGCATTGGTTATTGTAAAATGAATTTGGTTTAAAAGGTTTGTTTTTAAATCTCTGTTATCAGTCTATTAATCTACGTATGGCACTAAAAGTTAAATATTAAATAAAAGCAGATGTGTCTAAATGAAAAAAGCATGTCTGACTAAACCTAAAAAAAATCAGATATTACTTTAACCATTAGTCGCCCGGCCTATAGCCATTTTGCGGCCGCAAAAATGCTCTAGCTTTCCGGGTGCACTGCATTTGGCGTCCTCCCGCACATGCACAGTTCGGGCGGTTGCAGAGCCGCGCAGCGGCGTGATCTGTCACCGGCCGTGTACCTCAGACACGGCGGATGACAGATCTGAGTATCTGCCCCCGTTGCCAGTACCATGTGACCTGCTGTGACCAATCACAGCAGGTCACAAGACAGTTGTATACAATGGATGGCTTCATTCATGCCATCCATTGTATACTAGTGTCTAGCTGTGAATGGTCACAGCAGGTCACATGCACATGTGATTAGCTGTGGCCAAATCACAGCTAAACAAAAAAAAAAAAAAAAAAAAAACCTGAATGAATCGATTTCATTCAGGTAAACGCTTGCTTATAGCAAAGTAATTCTTTGCTATAAGCAAATTGTGTAAAAAAAAAAAAAAAAAAAATACGGATCACTTCCCCAAAGTAGTACAATGTTACTATGGTAACATTGTACTACTTTGGTCATAATAAAATATGAAGAAAAAATCTTAAATTTTTTTTTTAAAAAATGTAATAAAAAATGAAAAATAAAAAAAAAATAAAAAAATATATATATATATTTTTTCATATTGTCACCAGTCAGTGTCCCTGTTCACTGCCATACCAGTTATATGATGACGCTGTACTGCACTGGTGACAGTATGTAAAAAGAAAAAAAAAAATAGTGAAAATAATTTTTTTAATTTTTTCATTTTCCAAAAAAATTATGACAAAAAAAATACAACTTCAAAAAACTCGCCATTCCTCTTATGAAGTACGTCGGACTGTCTACTCTGCAAAAAGGGGTCATTTGGGGATATCTGTACTATTCTGACATTCTTGGACCTCAAGAAATTAGATTGGCTGTCAGTACTTCAGGATTGATCAATTTTCAGATCTATACCATAGTTTGTGAACTCTATAACTTTCCTACAAACTAAAAAATACATCCTAATTTGGGTTATTTTCACCAAAGACATGTAGCAAAATACATCTCGGCCTAAATTTATGAAGAACAATTATTTATTTGTAAACTTTTATAACAGAAACAAAGAAAAACGTGGGTTTTTTTGAATTTTTGGTCTTTTTTTGTTAATTTAGCAAAAAATAAAAACCCCAGCGGTGATTAAATACCACCAAAAGAAAGCTCTAGTTGTGTGAAGAAAATGATAAAATTTTAGTTTGGGTACAATGTTGTATGACCACGCAATTGTCATTCAAAGTGTGAGAGTGCTGAAACGTGAAAAATGGCCTGGGCAGGAAGGTGTAAAATGCCCGGTATTGAAATGGTTAAAAAAAAAAAAAAAAAAAAAGCAGGTATGATTGAATTTAAAAAAAAGTGGGTATGACTAAATAAAAAAAAAACAGCGATGACTAAATTTTAAAAATGCAGGTATGACTAATTTGAAAAAAAAAAAAGCAAGTATTACTAAATTTAAAAAAACAGGTATGGCTAAATTGAAAAAGCTGGTATGGCTATAAAAAAAAAAAAAGATTTGGCTAAATGGAAAAAGCAGATATGACTAATTAAAAAAGCAGTTATTGGTAAAATGAAAAAGCAGGTATGACTAAATAAAAAAAGCAGGTATGAGTAAAATAAAAAAAGCAGGTATGACTAAATTAGAAAAACCAGGTATGGCTAAATATAAAAAAGCAGGTATGACTAAATATAAAAAAGCCAGTATGTCTAAATATAAAAAAGCAGGTATGACTAAATATAAAAAAGCAGGTATGACTAAATATAAAAAAGCAAGTATGACTAAATATAAAAAAAGCAAGTATGACTAAAAATATAAAAAAGCAAGTATGACTAAATATAAAAAAGCAGGTATGACTAAATATAAAAAAGCAAGTATGACTAAATATAAAAAAGCAAGTATGACTAAATATAAAAAAGCAGGTATGACTAAATATAAAAAAGCAGGTATGACTAAATATAAAAAAGCAGGTATGACTAAATAAAAAAAAGCAAGTATGACTAAATATAAAAAAGCAAGTATGACTAAATATAAAAAAGCAGGTATGACTAAATATAAAAAAGCAAGTATGACTAAATTAAAAAAGCAGGTATGACTAAATATAAAAAAGCCAGTATGTCTAAATATAAAAAAGCAGGTATGACTAAATATAAAAAAGCAAGTATGACTAAATATAAATAAAAAAGCAAGTATGACTAAATATAAAAAAGCAGGTATGACCAAATATAAAAAAGCAGGTATGACTAAATATAAAAAAGCAGGTATGACTAAATATAAAAAAGCAGGTATGACTAAATATAAAAAAGCAGGTATGACTAAATATAAAAAAGCAGGTATGACTAAATATAAAAAAGC